GAAATCTACCTCTCTTAGATTAATTTCAATGTCAGTTTATCTTTTCTTTTCAGTTTATTATCTTATTTATTTGAAGATTTTTATAATTTCTTTTCCGATTTTGCTTTTTGTCTGTTGCAATTTCTTAGGATGATGAGCTAATACATCTCTGTACAATCTTATATTTTTGTTAATAATCCTAGCTAGTATGCATATTATTCTGACCAGTTTTCTTCACTATCATAGCTACCCATAATTACATCAAATGTTTCCTGTTCCCTTCTTTAAACATACCGTTTCATTGTTGAATAGTAGTGATTTTCAAACAGTTTCCTAACTTTAACCTTATCTGTTATGAGAAGGTCTTATATAATGTAGATGCACAGTTATACATATTTAATTTTACAGAACTAGCCTATAACTAATATTGTATTTTCCATTGGCTTAAACAAATCTTTTAGTTAAATTAGCTAATGTCTTCTATAATTTTACTTATTTTTCTTCACTTTTGTAATTTGGGAAAGCACTGAAGCTTTCTTTGTGGTATTTTAGTTTGATGAATGCTTATTTGGCAAAGCACTATTTAATCACCTAAGTTGAGTTTGTGTGATTTCTTTGGCTTTGAGTCTAATTTCATGTTCTATTTTTGTCGTGTTCTTGGGGTTTTAGCTTGTATATGTTTCTAGTTTTATTGGTAAGGGCAAAGACATTTGGTAAATTTTTATTTTGTTTTAGATTTTTTTTTTTAGGGACTTTTGCATATCTAATTATTTCCACTATATACCAAACTACTGTAAAATTAGAAAGTAATTCAGAAAAAAATATATAGGAATAAAAGAAAGGTACCTGGAAATAGGAACACTACTCACACAAAACATCATTTAACAATGTAACAAAAATGCAAATATCACAGCAGTCAAAACATATATGAAACAAAAAACAAAAACAAGTCAAAACATATATGAAACAAAAAAAAAAAAAAAAAAAAAAAAAATGAAACAAAAACAAGCCAAAACATACCAAAAATAACATTTAAAATACCACCAGCTTACATCACTTCAAAACATGTAACCTTTACTTAGGACAAAATAACATTAAATACCTTTCCAAAAGAATATAAACTCCTAAATAAAAGATCAGAACTCATTTCAAATCTAAACATGAAAAGAAATTCGTACATGCAGTAGGAATTTCTTTTCATGTTTGGATTTTATTACCTACAAAATCATAATACACACACACAAAATAACCTAAATCTAATTAACCTTTTCAAATGCCAAAATTTAGAACTGAACATAAAAAATAAATAAAATAAGCAAAAGTCAGACTTTAAATAACCTAAAACATTAACACAAGACAAAAAAAAGTTTCCAAAGAGCCCGCTTTCCCTTTCCTCCACTTTCTATAAGCCCCCCATCGACACATATCTCAGACACATGCCACGAGTAATTACTCAGGATAGCCAGCTTGTGACATTTATGTAGTAAATCTGCAAAAAAAATAAAATATTTTGCATTTTATGAATAATAAAGTAACCTTCATAATTTGGGTGGATTAGGTGCATATTGTGCCACAGAAGGAAAATGTAGCTGCTGATCTATTTTATTCAGAGTAAGCACTGCCTACCCAGATGGCATGTCCCTATATATATATATATATATATATATATATATATATATATATATATATATACACACACACAAAAGGAGTAGCAACAAAGTTTGATGATCACTTGAAGTGTAAACAGTGACCATGCAGTGTTGATTTCTATGAGTTCACTGTGTGTTTATAGATGTTTTACTTGGAGGAGGGGATTGCCAATGTAACCCATCTTCAAAAATTTTTGCTGACACTTGATTAAGTTAACAATGATATTACATATAAACAAATACTTGCAGTTTTTGTTTCAGGTTTTCAATGTGAATAGCAATTTTTGTGAATAATTGCAAAACAAACTTTTCTTCAAGCATCTAGATAAAAAATTTTTATTAGATTCACTTTTCTATCTTTTATGAACATGTAGAGAATATAACTATATATTCTGAGCATAATTATGAATCACAGCTGGAAAACTAGAACAATTATTTCAATTTGATTAGTCTGTTAGTGGCATGACAAACATTTCATTCATGCATTATACTTGTGCTTATTTTACTCTCAGATTTTTTACATTTATCAAAATTTATTGAAGGAATGTAAATTTTGATGTTTATTTTGGGTAGATAAGCAAGCAATGAGTCAATGCATGACAGAATTTAACAAGAATGGCATTTTATTAAGAAAACAAAATTATCTTTCTACACATGGTATTATTTTCATTTCTTTTATAACATTACATTTACCAACAATCTCTTATGAGATATTCCACCATTTTTATACCATACTACCTATTTGTTTTCCTTAATGTCAAAGTGTTAAAGACAATTTCAATAAGAAAAATATGTGAATTGAAGTAAAGTTTTAATTAAACAAGTAATGTTCAGAAATTCAACTCTTATTGATCAGTTTAAAAAATAATCACTTGCATGTTGATCTCTTAGGTCAACACAAATATTCAGTATTTGCAAAACTATGGGTAATCACAAAAAGAATGATTCTGAATATGACAACATTATCAGAGAATTCTTAAAATGTTTATTTTCATAATATATTTGGAATTAAGTAAATTAAAGAAAATAATCAATACATTTATATTAAGATAATTATAAATATTCATTAGCAATATTTGACAAATTTATTTTACTATGTGTTTTTTCTACATAAATACTTTTATAAAATTATGAATATAGTATAATTAATACAGTAACAATTTAAGTATAAAATAGGTTTTTGATATTTGCTGGGGTCAATAATATAAAATCATATATTTAATTAAGTAATTTAAAATAAACAAATAATTTGTAAATTTGAATATTATGATGGTTTAAATATTTTTTGAATTATGTGACTGCTGGTGAATATTTGCTGTGTTTATTTTATAAAGATGAAATTATACAAAAAATAAAATAAATCAAACATTTTAACTGCTTCTAAGTATTTAAATGTTATGTTCTTCACAGGCTCTAGTATGATGAAATTTGGTGTCTACAATTAGTATTAGCATAAATATGATAACTGGTAATAATTCAATAGATTTATTAGACCCTCTGTCCCTGAGGGGTGATGTTACAGGGAACTCTAAAGTTGGTCAAGCAATAAGTTACTTGAACATTTATTAATTAATTTTAAACTATTGTTCCTTTAGCTATCTCATGAACACTTTTTTTTGATAGAAATTCTGCTAGCCTTAAAATATGTTAAATTATAATTTTTAATCTGTTTTGTTAGGCATTATCAAGTTGTATCATCATTATTAGTATCTTTATAAAATATTACATTCCAAATTAATAAACATGTACTAGTGCTTGTACTTTGATTTCCACAAAAACTGGTTCAATAAATTTCTGAAAATATGACATTTTTTGGCATATATAAAAACAATTTTATTAGCAGATTAAAAATGATTTAATTTCATCATAGATTAAAAAGTTTGAAATATGAATGATAAATTTACCACTGGTTTACAGAAGTACAGAAAATTCAGCATACAGATTAAACTTATAAAAGTTTAATAATCAAGATTATTCTGGTCTGCACATGGAAACCAATTTTTTTTTCTAATTGGAAAAACAGTTTGAGAACAATGTCATGTTGATAGTATCAAAATTACAAAGTGCTTGATGACCCAAGATCAAGTGATGCAGGGATACAAAGCATTATGTCAAGGACATAACTTAAAGAAAGAAAAAAAACACTAATGTGTTTATTCTGTCTATTTATACAATGTATATTAAAAAATGTATTGACTCATTGTGAGGGCATGCTTGTAGTGGTCATTAGTCTGAGAGACAGTACCCATAACAACTCATCCATTATATATATATATATATATATATATTTCTAACAAAATGTTACAAGTTGAGAAGCAGAACACAAATTATCTAACTTAGAAATAGTCTCTTGGCATTTATGAATAATAAAAGGTATGAAAAGCTTCAACTAAAATTACTGAACAATATTTTAATTGTCTAATATACATTCAACATAGCAAAATTGTTTGATAAACCCATAAAGTATTCAGGTCACACAAAGGAAATTTGATAACTTAGAATTTATCTGTGTAAGAGGGAATATAAAAGCACACAGACTTCAGACTGATAAATATATATCCATTTGAATTCTTTAAGTGTAGTGAGAACAGAACCTGGTACAATTGGGATATGAGACAGTATGACAAGATTGCTAATGATGATATGAACAAGATATCAGGCCATTTAATAAGAATATTAATTATATACCATAAAAAAGTAATTTTTATCGTAAAATCTAAATTATGTATTGGGTAGGAAATTAGTTTTCCATAAATTTTTTTATTTTTTTTAAATATAAGTACATACATAGAGCTTAAGAGAAATCACCAATAAAACAATATTTGCAAGAAAAATATTATCATTAGAAAAATTGTTTTACAATTCAGTTATTAAATGGATGAGAGAGAAAGGTTGAATGGATAAAACAAACATTTTTAATATTGCTTGAAAAATCAGTGTTTCATAAAAGAGTCAGCAATTTAAACCACCCCACACCTTATCTTGTCCCTGGCATGCCAGAACATGTAAAACACAAGTAATGTGAATGCTGCATGAGGATCTTTCATTTGGTGTTAGTTTCAATATGTAAGAAGAACCAATGTCATACATGATTCATTTGTTTTTTTGTTTGTTTTTTTTTTTTGTTTTTTTTTTACAGCTTATCAACCTTTTGCAGAAAATATTTTCAGACTGTTAAATTTTTTTTTTTTTTTTTTTTGAGGTAATGGTTTACAAGTCTTACTAACCCATAGCTGAGAGGAGAAGTGGATTGATACCTTTCCCAAATGTATTCGCACTTAAATGAATATAACAAACCTATCAGAAATTGGAACTCAGTTCTCCAATTAAAAATTCCGAGCCTTTATCCATTAAACTACCCACATATCCAAGCTTACAGCAGCTGGTATTCCCAAGTGGCCACCCATCTAGGTATTAACCTGGCTTGACATTGCTTAACTTTGGTGATCATATGGAAACTAGTGTTTGAATGTGATGTGGCTGTAAGCCCCATATCATACAGAAATAACTAATTGAATGAGAACAATGAAGTCATAATGCAAAAACCATGCTATAGTTTTAAAATTTTAATATTAAACATGCCTCTAGAAATTATATGTATTATATAAAAATGGTAAAAATATACAATTTTTATTAATTATAAGAAATGGTTACTAACTAAACAACAGCAAACCAAATTTTCTTCTATCTTATATATTTGTAAATCACCTAAATTTATTAAGATTATTTTGAATTTAAAAATAACCCATACATGATCTTGAATTATCATTATAGCGAGTTATTTGGTATTTCTATAATGTAGAAATTGAATAAACTATATTGTGACTCAGAATGGGGATAAGTATTCAAATAAAATTGTTGAGAATTTTATTATAGTTTTTGAATAAAATCACACTTATTGCTTAAATGACATAACCTATAAGTGATAAAATAAAAGATTAAATGAACATGGGGATTTCTGTTTAAGAAAATTTTAACTAGTGATTTATAAACCAAAAACATAAAATATAATACTTAACTACACAAGAAAAAAAACATTAATATTTGATGCTTTATTTATATTAATAAACAAAAAAAATATAATTTAAAATCATTAGGAAAATAAAAAGACAAAGAATATTATTTGTTAATACTGTTGATTGATGCTCCAGTATTTGCATAAGCTGCACCTTCAAGCAAAATTACTTATAAAATACACTGCCATTAATTAATCTATTAGGTCAGTTACATTATACTTGACAAAGGTTTATTTACAGTCTTTATAGTAACTTGCCTGCTCAATTTGTGTAGGAAAATTTTATGAGGCAGTTAATTTTGCTGTTTTATTTGCTCACCATTTATTTATATGAATCAACAATGTGAATAGGGCATGAGACAAGGTTGGGACTAGTTTCTTTACACAAATAATGTTATTAACATTTGGTGAACAATTAAGCTACCTAAAATTCATTAATGTACTTATTTTTTTATAGATTAAAAATGAAATTTTAAAAGAAAATACACTGGACATTGGTGGCTTTTAAAAAGAAGTTTCTAAGTTTTCTATGTATACTTTTAATTAAAAATAGATATTCAAATACAAAAAATTGTTTACATAATAGTGCAGAAGTGTCAAAAACAAAATTTAAGTTAATTATTTGATACTGGAAAAATAATGTATGTTGTAATTATTAGAAGACTAGTCTATGTTATTAATCAAGAATATTATTAACAGGTTTATGCAAATAAAAAGCCTGGTATATCATTCCTGGTATATATACTAATGTTTAGAATGTTAAATTCTAAGGATACAAAAAAAAATTAAAAAAAAATATGTAAAAATATAACTCAAACAAAAAATGAAAAGAATATAGGAAAAGATTAAATGGAGTTAATAGATGCGAACATATATATAAGAAAAATAGTTTGTTTACTAAATAAAGAGTATGTGAGCTTTCCAAATGGATATCTCAATATTTTTTCAAATAAAATATCAATTATGCCTTAATTAAAACTATCCTCATTTTTATTATTCCCAAAACAATCTTAGGCTTCTTTATTCATTGATATAATTAATTTCAATACATTTAGGTATCAAGTATACAAAATACACTTTTGTTTTTCTCAAGTTATAGATATCAAATGGTGATATATTTGCTCAAAAATGAAGTACTACAATCAAAATTTCAAGTGATTACTAAAAATAAAGGAAATAGAATTTACATTTTTAAGTGTATAAGAGAAAAAATATATTTATCTTAAAATTAACTTATCTCTTCAGTTTCATGATATCTTAGTTCATCTGTACCATCAAAATATGACAATATTTAATAGATATTAGATAATTATGTTAGTTATATTTTCTGTATGAGTAATGTAGAATTTTCATCTATACAATTAACTATTTTCACATGTAAGTATTGTTTCTTTTAAATCATTAAAATAATGATAGCCAAAGAAAACTAACAAGAAACAAAACAAATTCAAAGCAATCTCTTACAAGCCAAATCTCCTCTTCTTTATTAGTTTACATTTGTAGATGCAAAAGGAATATATAAATCTTAACTGAAATGTTATATACAGATATATTTTCAGATATTGATCATTTATGTATTATGATGAAGTATTTCCAATTTGTATCTCTAAAATTGTACAAGGTCAGTTAAAAATAAAAATTTTATTTCTAAGCATGGCTAACATAAAAGGAAGTGAATATAGGTGAAGATTTTGATTCTTCAGCTATTTATTTGTAATTCAAGCTATTTAGAATTAAAGCAAATCTTGTATCCATAAAATAAATTAAAAAATATATTTTTTAAAAAGAATCGGAAAGTGCATATATACAAAATTTAACATGAACACAAGTACATTATTTACATCAATACCCAGTAAGGCAGTGGATAACTTTCAGAGGGAAATTAACAGGAGATAACTGATAACTGACATCCATTAAACATGGCACATGGAACTAGAACAGTCTACCCCAGTGAGCGAAATAAAGGGTTAAGTTCGACATTCCAATCACCTGAAGGAGGCCGGAGCATACAACAGCCGAAATGTTGTAATAAATATGGTGACAAAGATGAGGACAATAGTCTGAATAACTTAAATAATGTACATAATACCTAGGAGAATGCTGTGATAGTTCAGTTTTGTATATTGATAAAGTTTTATCAAAATACTGTCACAGCTTAATAGCTCTAGGAAAAAGAGATTTACTATTTTCATGGTTTTCACATTCTTACTTGTGTATCTTGTTCAATCATGTCAGAATGTGAAGAGAAGAAAGCACAATTGTCAATTTTATTTCATACACAACTTATAATCAATTTAATGAATGTCCTGAATATCAATCACAACAATAACAAAGCACATTCATAATAAATTAAAAAATACCAATAAATTTGACAAATGTTCTCAACTTCATGTAATTTCAAACATTTTCATGAATACTTTCTTCAATAATTGTGCAAGAAAAAAAGAATGGAAAAATGTTTCCACTGTATAAATGCTTATGAAGATTTAAATTCTATATACAGTAGATAAAATGTAAAAGCAAAGCAAGTGTAAAATACTACTAAAAACATTTAACAGAATTATTAATTTATTATTGAATGAGATATTTTAAGGACTGTTCTTTTCTAGATGCCAAATTATATGTAAGATAAACATTTTAAAATGATTTACATTTACATTTTTTTATGAATTTAACTGTGGTGGAAATTACACAATTATGCTCCTAATATAAACTTTAATAAATTCATTTGGTGCTTTGTAAACAATGGGAATTATAACATTCTACAATTAAAAAAAAAAAAATTGAATTTTGCTCTCATTTATGTATTTATAGAAAATAATATTTGTATCTACAGCTAACTTAATTGCAAAACTAAAGACTGGATATGCTTTCTGTAATTTTGAAGGAAGTTATATTGAAAGTTTTTCAGGTAACAAAAAGAAAGAATTCAACAGTCAAGGCACTTTGAATCTAGTTTAATTTGTTTGATATTCTACATAAAAAGTCTTTTGATTTTAAATATACAGAAATAAATAACATCAATCCAAGTAAAATGAGAACAGAATTCAAATTCAATATTTTTTTTTCCATATTTCAACATATCAACCATATATTTTTTAGGGAGAAAAAAAAAAAGCCATAACATTTTAAGTTAAATATATTTAAAATAAGCTTAACAAGTTTCAGTGAAAATTACCAACACAAAAATACCAAATTCTTTAATTTTAAAGATGTGAGGAGCAAATAGAAATAGAAAGAAAGAGAAAAAAAAAAAACCAACAAAAAACAACTAAAGCTTTTTATTTTATTTTTTTTACAGTAGATACCAAAATCCACTACAATAACAAATAATTGGAATAATTTTGGTAGAACAAAACTTTGATGATCTCTCAGTAAAGTTAATATGTAGCAGTGGACATAGAAATCAGCAGGGTATGGTGGCTGGCAGTTTCATATTTCCATACTGAAAATATGCTATACATCATAAAAATAAATAGGAAAATCACCAGTACACAATAAACACCCACAATCTCCACTTATAGCTGCATAACAAAGTCTAAACGCCCTCTAAACAGTAAATGCTCACAAAGCAACACCATATACCAAGCTACTGTAAGATCCAAAGGAAAACCAGAAAAATATAAAAATAACACAAAGTCACTGAAATAGAGAAGCTACTCACGCAAAACATAATTTAATAAATATGCACCTAAAAATAACATGGCGGGGGAGCACCAGCTTACAACATCTCAAAACAATTTAACTTTTGCCTAGAAGAAAACAGCAACAATAGTTCTAGAACAAATACAAAAATATTAAAAATAATTATAAATAAACCCAATCTCAGAACCATAAAACACTAGCAAACCCCACAAAAAAAACTCTTTAAAAATTTTTATTTCATAGCATAATTTAGGGTTGTTGTTTTCTGTTTTTTTTTTTGTTATAAGACAAAGTATTTCTACATTAACCAGTAATAAAACAATAATCAACAAATGTATTCTTTAAGCTGTATTTAATTCATGTTGCAATTAGATCTAATGGACATTAAATCAAAATATCACAGTAATAAAATTATGTCTTATCAAATGCAAAATTATCAAAATTAAATTGTTTTTAGTTTTTTAAAAAACACGCTACAAGACCTTCCAACTTATCAGAACATCACCTGCTTAGAAAATAATTTTTCACCTCTAACCAAAATACCTGGGCACCGAAGGAGAAAATAATAGTCATTTGGAATAATTAAAGAACAATTATTAATTTGCCGTAAATAAGACATTTTGTGTTTGTTTTACTAAATATTCAGGCTTATAAATAGAAAAGCTTTTTTAATACATAATATTTCTCAAAAAGTTTGATTCTGTGGTAATATAAGATTACTAAGTTATAAATATGAACCCTACTTAATAGCATACACAGGAGGAGGAAAAATAGCACATTTTCATACACGTGTAAGAAATATTTCATTACTAACCTGGCT